CCAGTGATGTGCAGTTAAATGCTTAAAAGCTGCCTGTCATCTGTGGGTGGGGGAAAATATTTTGTAATTTTGCCAGTTTCCGTGGTGTAAGCGTTTCCACCATGGCTGATTTCAAGCTACCAATGGAACTTTACTGAAGGAGGGAATTGGGAAGAGATGTACACAAGTGGCTCTTCAGAGTCAGCACAAGCTGGTTCCTGCATGTCCCTGGAGCCTTCCACCACCTAATGTCTGCCAGTCAGGAGGTGGCTGTTAAATAAACAATAACGTAGTCATAGAACGGAATACTAATCAGTCATGAGAAGATCATACTTTGGAATAATTAGTCATATTTGAAAAATGTCAAGGTTTAGTTTCAAGTTTCCACACAAGCAGCTGTGAGTGAAAATGGCGGTGTGAGGATTACAAAAATTGCTTCCTCCATAAAGTCAACCAGAAGATTGGCAAAAATTGTCAGAATCAACTTTTTGAGAAGTGTGGAAACTAGCCAAGGTCTTGAAACCAGCTGGAGAGCACTTATTCAAGAATAGGGGTGAACACTACAGATTCAGTGCAATGCCTTTCAAATTACCAATGGCATTTTTTACAGAACTAGAAGAAAAAAATCTTAAAATTTGTATGGAGACACAAAAGACCCCAAAGAGCCAAAGCAGTCTTGAGGGAAAAAAACGGTGCTGGAAGAGTCAGACTCCCTGACTTCCGACTATACTACAAAGCTACAGTAATCAAGACAATATGGTCCTGCCTCAAAAACAGAAATATAGATCAGTGGAACAGGATAGAAAGCTCAGAGGTAAACCCACGCACCTATGGTCAACTAATCTATGACAAAGGGGGCAAGAATATACAATGGAGAAAAGACAGCCTCTCCAATAAGTGGTGCTGGGAAAACTGGACAGCTACATGTAAAAGAATGAAATTAGAACACTCCCTAACACCATATACAAAAATAAACTCATAGTGCTTAGAGACCTAAATGTAAGATTGGACACCATAAAACTCTTAGAGGAAAACATAGGAAAAACACTCTTTGACATAAATGACAGCAAGATCTTTTTTGATCCACCTCCTAGATTAATGGAAATAAAAACAAAAATAAACAAACGGGACCTAATGAAACTTAAAAGCTTTTGCACAGCAAAGGAAACTACAAACAAGACGAAAAGACAACCCTCAGAATGGGAGAAAATATTTGCAAACAAATCAACGGACAAGGGATTAATCTCCAAAATATAGAAACAGCTCATGCAGCTCAATCTTAAAAAAAAAATAACCGAAACAAAAAATGGGCAGAAGACCTGAGTAGACGTTTCACCAAAGAAGACATACAGATGGCCAAGAAGCACATGAAAAGCTGCTCAACATCACTAATTATTAGAGAAATGCAAATCAAAACTACAATGAGGTATCACCTCACACCAGTTAGAATGGGCATCATCAGAAAATCTACAATCAATCAATGCTGGAGAGGGTGTGGAGAAAAGGGAACCCTCTTGCACTGTTGGTGGCAATGTAAACTGATACAGCCACTATGGAGAACCGTATGTAGGTTCCTTAAAAAACTAAAAATAGAATTACCATATGACCCAGCAATCCCACTACTGGGCATATACCCAGAGAAAACCATAATTCAAAAAGACACGTGGGGCTTCCCTGTTGGCACAGTGGTTGAGAATCTGCCTGCCAATGCAGGGGACACGGGTTCGAGCCCTGGTCTGGGAAGATCCCACATGCCGTGGAGCAGCTAAGCCCGTGTGCCACAACTACTGAGCCTGCGCGTCTGGAGCTTGTGCTCCGCAACAAGAGAGGCCACGACAGTGAGACGCCCGTGCACCGCGATGAAGAGTGACCCCCGCTCGCCGCAACTGGAGAAAGCCCTCGCACAGAAACGAAGACTCAACACAGCCAAAAATAAATAACTAAAGTTTTTTAAAAAAATACAACATACTGAAATTAAAAAAAAAAAGACACATGCACCCCAATGTTCATTGCAGCACTATTTACAATAAATAGCCAGGTCATGGAAGCAACCTAAATGCCCATCGACAGACAAATGGATAAAGAAGACGTGGTACATATATACAGCCATAAAAAAGAACAAAATTGGGTCATTTGTAGAGACTTGGATGGATCTAGAGACTGTCATACAGAGTGAAGTAAGTCAGAAAGAGAAAAACAAATATCGTATATTAACGCTTATATGTGGAACCTAGAAAAATGATACAGATGAACTGGTCTGCAGGGCAGAAATAGAGGCACAGATGTAGAGAACAAACGTATGGACACCCAGGGGGAAAGTGGCAGGGGGCTGGTGGTGGTGGTGGGATGAATTGGGAGATTGGGATTGACATGTATACACTGATATGTATAAAGTGGGTAACTAATAAGAACCTGCTATATTAAAAAATAAATAAAATTTTTTTAAAAAAAGGGTGAGCAGTGAGTGTTATGACATTTTAACTTGCCCTAGACTCATCCTCTGTTCTCCAGGTCCACAGTAGCCTTTAGAAATAACAGCCTGCATTTCTGGTGCTGCATGGCAGCTACCAGAGGAAGAAGAATGGAGCTAGAACTCATTAAAGAGACGCTCTCAAATGGATGTCATTATTTGATCAGTCTGGTGGTTCCCTGGAAGCCCTCAGTTGCAAGGCTGCCTTGGAGCTCACTCAGTGTGAAGTCTTCTCTCTAGAGGACATTTTTAAAAGAACAATTGCAGGCAAGTTTTTTAACTATGTGATTGTTAGAGGCAACAGATAAGAGTTGGGTCAGACAGTAGACCTGAAAAAAAAAAAAAAACTTAAAAGTTTAGGGAATAGAGTTCCATAAGGGCTTTGGAAGCTTTGACGCATTCCGGGAAGTCTGGATGGTCGTGCGCACGTGTGGGTCTGTGTGCCCAGGGATGTGCACTTGCTCAGAAAAGAACTGAGAAAACCCTAAGCTCTCACCTTTGTTGACCTTGAAGCATTGCCCACTCAGGAAATGAAGTCTAAGGTGGAGTTGTAAACTGCCTGTCTGCACCCTGAAAGCCTGTCCTAGCCACACTCACAGCCCCTTGGCAAAGAATGGGAGATTTATTTGTTCCAGGCATTTAAAGAAATCTCTGTCCTATCATGAGCTGACCATTAACTGAATAGAAACTTCAGCGACCTTATGTGACAAAGAATACAGACACTATAGAATCAGCTCAGGGTAGTTCCTTAACTACTACGACAGGCAGTGATGACAACAGGCCTTGGGGACGGAGCAAATCATATTTCTAGAGCTGCACATTCAGTTATTTAAAATTTCCAGTTTTCACCAAAAATTATGAGAACACTCCCCAACTCATTTTCTGAAGTCAGAATTACCCTGACACCAAAACCAGACAAAGACATCACAAGAAAAGAAAACTACCGGCCGGTATGTTTTGTGATCGTAGATACAGAAGTCCTGAACAAAATACTAGCAAACTGAATCCAGTAGCATCTAAAAAGGATACACCATGACCAACTGGGATTTATCTCAGGATGCAAAGCTGGTTGAACATACGAAAATCAATTAATGTAATGTACCATATTAATTGAACAAAATGGAAAAAAAAAACACATGAGCATCTCAGTAGATGTAGAAAAAGCATTTGACAAAATCCAATACTCTATATGATTTTTAAAAACCACTTAACAAAATAAGAACAGAAGAGAACTTCCTTAAATGGATAAAGGGCATCTAAGAAAAATCCATGGCTACCATCATATTTAATGGTGAAAGAATAAGTTTTCCCTGAGATTAGGAATAAGACAAGGATGTCTGCTTTCATTACTTCCTTTCAGCATTGTTCTGGAAGTTCTTGCCAGGGCATTTAGGCAAGAAAATGACATAAAAGGCATTCAGATTGGAAAGAAAGATGACATGATCTTACATATAGAAACTCTTAAGGAATAAATACACACACACACAACACACAGTGCTAATAAACAAGCTTAGCAAGGTTACTAGATACAAGATAAATATACAGAAAAGTTCTATATCTGTGCACTAGCAATGAAGAATCTGAAAGTGAAATTAAAATTCCATTTGTAATAGATTGAAAAGGATAAAATACTTAGGAATAAATTTAACAAAAATGCAAGATTTATACACTGAAAAGTTCAAGACATTGTTGAAAGAAATGAAGATCTAAATAAATGGAAACACACCTTGCATTCATAGATTGGAAGACATAATATTGCTAAGATGATAATCCACTCCAAACTGATGTATAGATACAGTGCAATTTGTATCAAAACTCAACTGCCTTTTTTTTTTTTTTTTTTTGGCAGACACTGACAAGCTGATCCTAATCTCTTGGAAATGCAAGGGACCCAGAAAAGTCAAAACAACCTTGGAAAATAAGGACAAAGTTGGAGGACCTCACAGTCCCCAGTTTCAGAACGACTGCATAGTAACAGTAATCCAGACAGTGTGGTACTGGCATCAGGATAGACATGTGGATTAACGGAACCAATTAGAGAGTCCAGAAATAAACCCATACATCTACAGGCAATTGATTTCAGTTAGGGTGACAAGCTCATTTAATGGGATCAGAATATTCTTTTCAACAAATGGTACTGGGACCACTGCAAAAGAATGAAGTTGGATCCCTAACGATACCATATACAGAAGTTAATTCAAATTGATCAAAGGCCCAAATGTAACCGCTAAAACTGTAAAAATTTAGAAGAAAATGTGGGAATTCCCTGGCAGTCCAGTGGTTGGGACTCCACGCTTTCACTGCTGAGGGCCCAGGTTCAGTCCCTGGTCGGGTGGCTGGGATCCTGCAAGCTTCGCGGCCAAGAAAACAAAGAAGAAAACGTTAGATGTAAATATTTGCGACCTTAGAGTACACAATGGTTTCTTAGCTATGACATCTAAACCGCAAGCAACCAAGGAAAAAAATTAATGGGACTTCATCAAATTTTAAAACTTTCATGTGTCAAAGAACACTGTCAAGAAAGTGAAAAAATCCACAGAATGGAAGAAAATATTTGCAAATCATATATCTGCTAAGGATGTATTACCCAGAATATATAAAAAACACAATAATAAGACAACCCAATTGAAAAATGGACAAAGGATTTGAATGGACGTTTCTCCAGAGAAGGTATACAAAAGTTCAATAAGCACATGAAAATATACAAACTTCATTAGTCACTAGGAAAACGCAAATCAAATCCACAACGAGAAACCACTTCACACCCACTAGGATGAGTACAGGAAGAGAAAAATGGGCAATGACAAGCGTTGTCCAGGATATCAGGAAATCGGAACTCTCACCCACTGCCAATGGGAATGTAAAATGATGTAGCAGCTTTGGAAAGTACTTTGGCAGTTCCTCAAAAAGTGATACGCAGAGTTGCCGTATGACCAGCCAGGTTTATACCCAAGAGAGTTGAAAACATAGGTTCACAAAAATGAGTACGTGAGTATTAATAGCAGCATGATTCCTAGTAGCCAAAAAAGAGAACAAATGTCCATCAACTGATGAATGGATAAACAAAATGTGTCTCTCCATACAGCGGAATCTTTCTTGGCCACAGAGAGGAATGAGCACTGACGACACACTACAACACGGAAGAACCTTGAAAACGTTAGTGCTCAGAAGCCAAAACACAAGGCCGCATATATATGCAACTCATATGTATCCATATATGTAATATCCAAATACTGCATATATATGCATTTATGTGCAGTATTCAGAATAGGCAAATCCATAGAGACAGAAAGTAGGTCACTGGTCTCCGGGGCTGGGAAGGAGGGAATGGGGAGTGGCTACGAATGGCATGGAGTTTCTTTACGGGGTGAAAATGCCCTGGAGTAAGTGGTGCTATCTCCACAACCCTGTGGATATGCTAAAAACCACTGAGTTGTACACTTTAAAATTGGTGAATGGTAAGTTCTGTGGAATATGAACTATATCTCAAATAAACAACAAGTAGGTTACAAAATAATGTTTCATATAAGTGGTAGGAAGGCAGCCTCTAAAATGACCCCCAGTGATTTTCATCCCCTTGTGTATCCCTTGGTCTTTGGTGTGGGCCAGATTTAGGGACTCATAGCAAACAACACAGCAGAAGTGGTGGAATGTCGCTTTTGATACTAAGTTCTAAAAAGATGGAGCCTGTCCATCACCCTTCCTCTCACACGCATCCCTCACTCTGGGGAAGTGGCTCCAGGCCCTGAGCAGCTCTGTGGAGCTCCCGGGTGGGGAGGAACTGCTGTCTCAGACAAGCCATTGCAGACCTACGCCTGCCAACAGCCGCGAGAGTCAGCATCCAGGTGGGTCCTTCCCCCGTCAAGCCTCGAGGTGACTTCAGCCAGCACGTCAACTGCAGCCACGTTACCCCTGGATTCCCGACCCTCAGAAACCGTGAGATAATAAAGGCTTGTCGTTTTCAGCTGCTAAGTTTTAAGGTGATTTGGATATTTTCTGAAGGTAACTACTGCAGTGTGTTATATCAAACATAGACAAAAGACACAAATGATGTATACCACGTATTGTTTTACCAGTTGTCTCTAGGTGGAATGATTGTTGGTGCCTCATTTTCCTATTCACAGATGCCTGATTTTTCTAAAATGTTCATTAATGAACGTATGTTGTTTACATAATCAGAGAGAAAGTGAAAGTGATAGCTGATTTTAGGATGCTTAGGAACCATTTGGTAGCATAAGTGCCTTTGGTATAACATTAGGTAGAATAGGCAGTATAAAAATGGTCCATAGGGAATTTCCTGGCAGTCCAGTGGTTAGAACTCCGTGCTCTCATTGCCAACGGCCTGGGTTCCATCCATGGTCGGGGAACTAAAATCTCAGAAGCCACGCGGTGCAGCCAAAAAAAAAAAAAATAGTCTGTATACTGATATTATTGCATAAAAATTCCATCTGCATCTGGACAAAGCCTGGAAAGGAAAACTCAAAACAGTTAGTTCTTTGGAGTCTCTGTTTTGAGTATCAAATTAATTGTTATCACGATGTTTAATTATTGAGTTCCATTCAGCGGAAACATTGAAAGTAAAGAAAGATCCCTGAGGCAGAGTGGAGGCCAGGCCCCAGTGGGAGGGTGGAATCGTGGTGCGTGCTGTATGGGATGCAAGGTCAGGCGTTGGAATGGAACAAAGGATGGACCCAGGAGAGGAATAGGACACCAGATGGGTGGATCCCGGTGCCTGGTTTAATGAAAGGGCAGAGAGAGAGATGATCCAGATAACTGGCCCACACTTGAGATATCTCCAGAGAGCACGGAGAAGGGAAATGAGGCTACTCTCTCAGCATTATTAGTAACAGCCTTCCCCCCACTATCCGAAAGTAAAGCGTTCCTAAGAAACCTTTCATAAGCCAAATGGCGTAAAGCGAAGGAGCAGTTACCTTAGGACACATCTTGCTCACAGATGCACAGAATAAATCTGGATAAGATGCTTGCAGACACAGTTTAAAGCTTGTGGTGGCTTGACGCTGAGGTGCTGAGTGTGGCTCCTGGGGGAAGGAGCTTGGCAGGGCCGCTCCGGCTGCTGAGAGCGTGCGCTGCCTCTGTGACAGCTTGCTGCAGAACACACGATGAACACTACTTCTGCTTTTTGCCTTTTTTTTTTTTTTTTTTTTTTGCTTTTTGCCTTTTATCGTAAAAGTGAAAATCCTCTTCAGAGATCTTTTGGTTAGTGAAAACAGGTAGTAACGTAGGTCTTTCGTAAAAGCGAAGTGGCATAAAGCGAACTTTCAAAAAGTGGGGAATACCTGTGTTAGGTTATTTTGAAAGTTTGACGTAACAGTTTGTGTTCTGTTTGCCTTGCTTCTTCCAAGAACGGAACACGGTCCTGGCCTTTGAAGTTGCTCACTAGTGCAGTCAGTGGGAGAGGAGTGTCTAAACGCTGTGATAGTGGCCATTGATACTCAGATACTGTCCAGACATTCACCGCTGTTCATTAATACTCAGACTATCTCCTTCCAGGGTCATAGTAAGACCATGCTTCCCTGCCTCATGGAAGTTGTTGTGACCAGGTGACAGGCTTTGTCTAAGGACACATGAATGGAGGCATCATGTTTTACATGTGTGCAGGGGCCTTGAAGAGGCAGAGCAGGAGTTCCCACATTTGCACCCTGGAACAAACACAGCAGCGGCTGGTCTGCAGTGGTGGAGGCTGGCGCCATCGGCCCGGGTCCCTGAGTGAGGACGAAATTAAAGAACAGTCTGGTGGTGGATACACAGACCTACACAGGGGATTCAGTTATATAGCACATAGCATGCACGCGCATGGGCACGCGCGCACACATACGCGCGCGCAGAAAGGAGTACAAGACCGCGCGCAGAAAGGAGTACAAGACTGAGGAGCTCTGAATACGACCAATGTCCGTGTCCTCCACTGAAGAGCTATAGCTTTGCAAAAATGTCACCCTTGGGGGACATTCAGTAAAGTGTTCAAGCCATCTCTCTGCATTATTTCTTACACCTACATGTGGATCTACAATTAGCTCCAAAAGAGAAAAGTGACAAAATTATTCCTTTTCCGGTTATTTTCCAATCTTTCTGAATACCTCAAGGAGAAATTCTAAGTATGATAGCAGTGCGTATGTTGCATTTCTCTGACACTTGCAAATACACATTTTGAACAAAGAAAGAGCAGGCTTCCTTCAGCAGACAATATCTAGTTATAATTCAATAATGCTTATTTTCATTATGCTTCTTTTGCCAGTTATCTTCTATATATGTCAAGAGAGACTCGTTATCCCCTTATGATGGTGATATAAAGTTTTTCTTAAAAAAGGTTAAAAAAATTTCTAAGTCAACTCCCTTTCCATAAATAGCAGTATTGATGGCATGGGAAGATGGTTTGCAAACAATGGAATTTGAGGGAACACAGACCCCCTGGGAAAAAAATGTAAAATTAAAAAAAAATTAGTGTTAATTGGTTGAAGAATCTCAATGTCTTGTAATATAAGTATGAAATATGCTCTGGGTAGCAGATTTCTTAACGACATTAAAAATTTTTGCAGTGTAACATACATAGGAAAAAGCATTCAAATAATAAGTAAGTGTATAACTCAGTAAAATTCTCCCCAAGTGGAGTATAAATGCCATGCAATTCCAGTCTATATCCTAGCAGAATTTTTGGGGGTGGAAATTGACAAGTTGATTCTAAAGTTTACATGGAAATGCAAAAGGCCAACAGTAGCCAAGGCCATCCAGGAGAGGAGGAAGGAAGTTGGAGGGCTCTCACTGCCAGCTATCAGGATCTATAATGTAAGTATAGTGATTAGCGTGGTACTGGCATAAAGATGGGTCAACAGATCCTGGAACAGGACAGTCTAGAAATAGACCCGTAAATACCCAGTCATCCGATTTATGGCAAAGGTGACACTGGAGAGCAGTGGGGAATGGGCCATCTCGTGAACAGATCTTTCAGGTCCCAGCTGCTCCGTGAGCACTGCCATCTCTGTTGGGCCTGCATCCCGCACAGGCCGTGTGTGAGTTATCCGCAGAGCCCTTTGCGGCCGTCCCACAGCTCAGGTCCGTGATGAGGGAGGGCTGACTCAGGTTTGAACTCTTCCTGCCCCTCTGGCTCATCCTCTTCAGGTGCCCCGTCCCTGGCCAGCCCTCCTGGCTGCGGAGCCAGTGAGAGAGCTGTGGTCTCCGGCCTCCACGTTGGCCCCCGTGATCCTTACCGCCGGGGGTTCACGTCCTTCCGTGGTCCCCTCTCCCACCGAATGGGAGCTGACCTGTGTGACCAGCTGAGTTCTGTGGAGGTGATGACATAGGACTTCAGAGGCTCGGTCCTATCCGACGTTACAGCGTCTACCTCAGTCCTTCAGATCGTTTTCTCAGGGGGAAGCCAGCTGCCGTGTTGTGTGGACACAAACAGCCCTATGGAAATAAGCTTATTGGTCAGCACCGGTCGGCCAGCGTGTGAGCAAGCCCCAGGCAGGCCTTCAGATCATCCTTCACGGCTCCCAGCTGAGGCCCCAGACAGCACGGAGTAGAGATAAGTCATGCACGTGACCTTCAGTCTGACCTCCTGGCCCACAGGGATCATGAGATAAGAATGACCCCGGGTTTATGGCCCTCAGGTTCGGGAGTGTTTAGTTTTGTAGTTGTAGATCGCTGATACAGAGGCTCAAGCCTGCTGCCCTTTGGACCAACCCCTTGACTCTGGGAAAGGCCTGCCTAGTGGCTTTACCCACGCAGGTTTGCAGGCAGCCGCCCTGCAGCCTCCTCTTTGAGCCCCTCTCCTGTCCCTGCCAGGAAGGCAGAGGGCAGGATCCACACATCTGCTGCCCACGACGCAGAGGTTCCCTTGGGGAATGAGATGCCAGTCCGTCCTGCTTCCCCCACCCCAGCTTTACACCTCACCTTGGCAATGGCTGGGGAGGGGGAGCCCAGTACTCTGGGCTCAGCGGCCCTGTGACTGCAAGAATTCCCTCTGTCCCCTCTGCCCACGATTCTGCTGCTGCTGCTTGTGTGGGTAGGGGAGGAGGGGAGCCGTCGTGGCGGGGCCCGTCCTGCCGCTTCTCTGTGCCTGTGCGCCCCCGTCTCAGCCGATGTCCTAGTCACCCGAAGTGTCAGATCCTCCATGCTCTTTGCCCTCAATTTTAGATCTTGGCTGTCAATACGAGGAAAACAGGAAAAGGCCCTGTTGACCTCTGGATCAAAGGCATTCACGACCCACCACGACCCAGTCTTTGTGCGTGAGTTTCCTTACTGCTCCTGCTTCCTTCCCTTGAACTCTGTTCTCCAGGAACACTAAGCCGTCAGCAATTTCTGGAATGAGTTACGTCATGTGCTCTCTTTTCTCTAAACGTTCGCACCCAGCTATCCCTCCCAAGCAGTCGCCTTCCTCTTGGCCCAGCAGGTTCTTAATCATCCTTCATGAGTCACCGCAGCACCTCCGGCTCTGGGAAGCCCTCCTTGACTACTCTGTCTCCCAGGCTACCTCAGGTGTTTCTCCTGGGCCGCCCTCGCTCCTTCACTTCCTGTACCCAGCGATCACCACGCTGTATCAGTGGCAGAGGCAGACAGCTCCCCAGCGAGGTTTGCTCTCCCTCTTCTGGAGTGCACAGCTGTTGCCTCACCTGGGCCCCTGTTTCGTAGGTCCTCATGCATCCAGGTGTGCAGCATGACTAGCTCTTACCAAAGTAACACGAGCAGAGGTGGCATGTGTCCCTTGCACACCCAGGCATTAAGAAGAAGATGTGCCATCTCCACAAAGTTCTGCCCCTGCTACCAGCTCTATCTAGACAATGGCAAGCCCCTTGGGAATGGTGTGGCCACAGGGGAGAACGAGCCCGGTCCCCACGTCAGTGTGTGGAGGAAAGCCGCCTGCTTCTGTTTTGTTTGAGATCTGACTCATTTGGAGGCCTATTTGTTATAGCAGGTAGGGTTGCCTTCTGTAACACAGTACCGTGACGGTGTGTTTACCAATATATTCTTTTTTTTTTAAAAACTTATTTATTTATTTATCTTTGGCTGCGTTGGGTCTTCATTGCTGCGTGCGGGCTGTCTCTAGTTGCAGAGAGCCAGGGCTACTCTTTGTTGCAGTACGAGGGCTTCTCATTGCAGTGGCTTCTCTTGTTGCGGAGCACGGGCTCTAGGCGCGCGGGCTTCAGTAGTTGCGACACGCAGACTCAGTAGTTGTGGCTCGTGGGCTCTAGAGCGCAGGCTCAGTAGTTGTGGTGCATGGGCTTAGTTGCTCCACGGTGTGTGGGATCTTCCCGGACCGGGGCTCAAACCCGTGTCCCCTGCGTTGGCGGGCGGATTCTTAACCACTGCACCACCAGGGAAGTCCCTACTAATATATTCTTGATGAACTAGCCTTAAAGGAAAGGGGGGAATTCTTTATGTGAAAGGAGAGGAGTAGGGGGATGGGAGAGCAATGAATTTGTCAGTCATTCAGTGAATATTCGCTGAGTATCTGTCATGTCCCAGGCACTGTTCCAGGCGTTGAAATCACAGCATCAAACCAGGTAGACAAGGTCCCTGCTCTCAGGAAGGGGGAATTCTAGGAGGGACAATTTCCCCATAAAACAAGGAAACGAATAATTACAGGGGATCCTTGCTCATTGAGGTGCTTTGGAGACAATGTAACAACGTAACAAGGTTATATTGACCCGTGAGGGCCTCCCTGTAGTGTCATTTGAGTTCAGTGGTAAGAAGGATCCAACCCGGAGAAGATCTTGGAAACGGGGGCAGGGGGACTGTCTGGGCCAGGGGAGCTGGATGGGCAGTGGCAGGGGCAAGCTCAGTGTATCTGGGAGCCGGAAGAAGCTGGTGCGGCAGGAGGGGCCTGATCCCAGGAGACAGGGAGGCCGGGGGCCGGGGTCACTCGCCACCCACTGCCCTGCTTTGTTTCTGTTCCCCACACTTATCACCATGTAATATACCATAATATTTTATTTCTTTATTTGGTTGAGCCGGTTCTTAGTTGCGGCCAGCGGGCTCCTTAGTTGTGACATGCGAACTCTTAGTTGTGCCATGCATGTGGGATCTAGTTCCCTGACCAGGGATCGAACTTGGGCCCCCTGCATTGGGAGCACAGAGTCTTAGCCACTGGACCACCAGGGAAGTGCCTAATATACTATATATTTCACTTATTTACGTGGTGAAATTCTGTGTCTGCCACTAGAATATAGGTTACATGAAGGCAGGGATTTTTGTCTGTTTTGTTCTCTGCTGTCTCTCCAGGGCCCGCCACGCAGTAAGTGCTCAAGCTACGTTTGTTGAATGAATAAGTAGATGAAAGATACAAAGGCCAGATGATGTAGGGCCTTGAAGGCCGTTCCGGGGGGATGGAAGGTGCACACAGGGGGCCCGTGTTGGTCAGGTGAAGGCAGGTCGAGACACCCACAGCTTGTCAGGATGGAGCCCCAGGAGGGCTTCAACGCACAGCATAGGAAGAACGACGGGTGGAGGCGGGCGCCCCCCCGTCCCCACAGTGCTTGTTAATCTGAAGCACAGAGTCTGAAAGAGTCAGGCGCAGTGACCCCGAGAAGGGGCACCCAGAGACGCGGCCCATGGGAGAGAACGTGGGAGGGCCACAGCTGCTGAGGGCACAGCGCCTGCCTCCCAGCCCGTTGACTTGGGGTAGTGGGGCAGCTCTCCAGCAGTGGCTGCACTGACCCCTTGCCTCTGGCCTGGCCACCTCGCCCCTCCTAAGGTCGTTGACGTGCTCGTCCATCCTGGGCTGTGAGTGGGGCGGAAGTTGTCATCCTCGTGCCACAGAAGAGGAAACTGAGGCTGAGTTGTCACCAGGGCTCTTTTGGATGCAAGTGACAAACAGCTACTTGTACTGCCTTGTCTTACCTCAGCTCCCCGGAAAACAGAGCCTGAGGCCCAGCTTCACGTGCTGCTACTTTACGCCGCGTTCAGGACCCGGCAGACCAGGCGGGGAGCGGGAGGGAAGTGCGAGGTGAGTGTTATGCTGGCGTGATGCTCA